CAATGCCCAGTAGGTACTTGATATTTTCATAAACGATTTCATTCTGATCAGGTTTCTGGCCGATTTCTAAAGGGGGTTTTCATCATGAACAGAAACTATTCATTCTGGAATGCTACCGCAAACCAAAGTAAGATCGACTAACGAGACCTTTTGTTGTCGATACCTGGGTGTAAAGAATTAGGAGACGTAATCCTGTAACTTTTGAGAGTATCAGCCTTCTATAAATGTGATCTGCAGTTTGTAACATGTTTATTTTTCTTACAAAGGATTGATATGTATTCGGTTTGGTTTACCTCACTGCTAAGAAAGCATGTTTAAGCTTGTAAGTATTAGCAACTAGTGGAACAACGGCTTCTCTGATGGACTTGCTAGTGTGAATTAAATAATTAATGCCTTTACACTGTAATACCAAAGGGCACTAGAGCATGAACTTGGTTTCGAACCCAGGAATTCCCGGTTACGAGACCACTGCTCTACCACAGAGCCATTACTGTACATCTCCTCCATTTTTAATAGATGCTTAATTCAAATGAAATCATGCAATTATTGACTATTCTTTGGTCACTTATCCTATTCACACAATTGAAAAAGGATGGAATGATAATTCTTTAATATGTTCAATCTTGTGTTTTCATATTCTTAAAAATTAAACCATATGCCCATTCTTGGGCACAGTTGTTTGAACGAACTTTCCAAAATAATATTTAGTTAGTGTACAGTAGTTGAGTTTAGTAGAAAGAAATGTAATGATACTTGTTGATGTTCGCATATTAAATAAAAAAAGGTTTTTTCTACCAATTTTCCTTGATTTTCAGCACAAATATTTGAAGAAATCGCCAAAGTCAGGCTATATACAAGCCATTCATCTTTGAGCAAAAGATCACTGCCCAGCAATTTCACATAAATATACAAATTTAGATGCACACACAGCTGCCCATTAAATCCCCCTCGCTTGCAAGGAGGGAATTTTGATTGACCAAGGACCAGGGCCCTGTTAGAGTTGCAATTGATCCAAATCGACCGCAAGTCCTCCAATCAATCACAACTTTGCAGTCTCCTATCTCTTGTGACTTTTGTGTACTTAGTTGCGATTTATATCAATCGGAATAAGTAGCCATTAATCTCAATTGTTTATAAGACAAAGCCCAGAGATAGTAATTTTTATGCAGATGCGCTGGCCCCTTTGCCAGTAGGAGGTCAGGCATAAAATGCATTGACTTTCTGCACACTCCTTACAATTATTCCCTGTTGTCAATATCAAAAACTTATTTAATGTTAACATTCCACTCCATAATATATTGTTAACTGCAATATAAAGTTGAGAAAAAAAATCAGCACATAATACTTTTTACTAAATTGTTTAATACCCCAAACCATCATGGTTTACTCATACTGTTTGCATCAATTGTCCTTTCAATTTGGTTGCACAACATGGATTCTTCAAATAAAGGAAACAAAAGATTCTGGACATAATGTTGATAAATTCAATTGTTTGCTCCATTCCTCTTGAATTCTTGAAATACCTAATCTCTTATCTGGATTTTCATGCACAATGAGACCAGTATTTGAATTCAGTTAGCTGTAACCGCAACCTATCTTTGTGTAGTGTGAAATAGTTGGTTTGATTGTATTATAGGTGTCATTTACACTGCAGAAAAACCAATTTGGAAAACTATTATCTATTGAAAACTATTTTTGACACTACGGTACTGAAGAAAAAAAAAAACTAACAAAATATGTCTGTTAGTTAATATGTTTTTAATTCGACTTGTGCACATGCGCAACTTGTTGCTACTCTGTGATAGCTTCTCAAGAGCATAAACCAGAATACATGTAACTCACCTGTGTTTTGGGACCGAGCATTCACACTGCAAAACCTGATAATAATAAAAATAGTGCTTACCACCAAAGTCTCTAAGCGCTATAACAAACAAAATACAATGATAAACAGTTACATCTATTAAACATCACAAATAAACCTACAAATTACAATATATAGGAAATAAACATCAATGTGAACAGAGTATTAGTTAATCATCAAAAGCAAATTTTAATAAATTTATGTGTTTTAAGACAATCTTTGAAGTGGTTAACAATTTCACAGTTTTTGACATTTTAAGGTAATTTGTTCTAAAGCTCAGCAGAGGCTTTGCAAAAAGAGTGATGTAGTTTCAGCTGGCTTTTAAAAAAAAATCAAAAAAATCCAGAGGTGGGCTTCTCAATTCAGGTTATCATTGTGTTTACGGGTAGTCACCTAACAAATGCTGACAAAACTCCGGAATGTCAGAAAAAAACGATGGTTTTTGCCTGCAGTGTGAATGCTCCCATACAGTTGGTGTGATTTTGTTATAGAGAAAGGTGTTTATGGAGTGTTTATTGACTGCTGTAGGCAGGAAAGTATCAATCTCTATTACATGCTCAACTGAGCCAGCATTATGCACCCAAATACCCATTCAAAAGGCAGGTTAATAGAAAATCAATATCTTTATCTGACTCTAGGGTCACAAAACCAAAAGTGTTACTCTATGCCTCCAGCAATCACTTGGGTTTTTTGTTAAGTTTGGGTGACTTTAGTTTTGTTAGACAGTAAATGATCCTTTCCATAGCGAACAATGTGCTCTTTTGTTATCTTATCATTATTGAAATGTTATACAGGTGTATACAGTTTTGGGATATTAGGAGAGGTCATTGAGAAAGTAGATTATTTTTTAATATTTTTCTTTCATTTTGGATACATGTACATGGGCTACACATATCGCTATGTCAGACTTCTTGGTAGAACACAAATGAAAAAGCTTGCTCCAGAATGAATAAAGGGGAAATCCACCCTGATATTAAATTGGTTTTAAATTTAATAGAAGCAGAAGATTGAGAGAAACAGGTCAGTGAAAGTTTGAGCAAAATTTGTATTTCCCTGATGACAACTTCAGAAATTCATAACTTAATTCTTATTTTTGAACAGATTTTGTTCAAATTTTCACTGACCCGATTCTCTCAATTTTCTGCTTCTGTCAAAACCAACTTGATATCAGGGTGGACTTCCCCTTTGATGCTTCTGCTTCTTTAATGATCCCTTCCTCCCTCTCTCTCTCTCTCTCTCTCTCTCTCTCTCTCTCTTCCCACCTTTATCTCTCTCTTCCCACCTTTATCTCTCTCTCTCTCTCTCTCTCTCTCTCTCTCCCTCTCTCTTTCTTTTGGTTGGAATATTCCACCAAGAAAAGGGAAGCCAGTTTCGAACTGAGAATAGAAGGGAAAAAAACAAAATGTTGGGACTTTTTTCACTTTGAGCACATATTAAAAGTGCAAGGACTGAAATTTGATTAAAGCTTATCTCGTTTAGGTCCGTGAATAAAGTTGAATGAATTTGAGATGATCGTTTGTCCACTTTGTGGTCAGTTTATGAGGAGTGATTAACCGAGATCAATGCATTCTTATATGGTGAGTTTATACAGGAGGAGAAGGTCATAGCAGGTTGGAGTAATAAAATGGTCTTCCGAAAGAGGAAGCAATTGTTGCTAAAGTGAAACTAATCTCTACTTCTCTAAAGATGGAGAAATATGTTTATTTTTAGTAGTATAATGGTTCTATTGATTGGGGGATGACCAACACCCTTTGGGCAAGTGATGCTGGGGAAGGATGATGAAATATAAAGCAATAAGCTCATGATCTTACAGATAATCATTGCCCTTAAAACTTCTAGACATAAAATGCTGCCTCTGTTTGGAGCCAGAACAGAAGGCCCTGTTTCATAAAACTTCCTATCAATAACGAATGCTCAAATTCTTTAACGAATTTGCTCTCAGCCAATCAAATGCAATGATTTCAGTTGCTTATATTTATAACAATTAACAAATATTGTTAAATTAATTAACAAGAAAAAAAAACTAGATTTTTCTGCATGGCCTGAACTGTATATCTCTAGACCTAATGTTCCCACTTATAAAGTTAGACTACCTGTGGTTTCATGGAAAGTTGGAAACCCTCCCCTAGTTTATTGAGGAGAGTGTCAAAAGTCCAAAAAACTCCTCTAAGCAGACAGACTTTTCTGTCTGATATGTCACTTGAGAAGTTGCGGTATCTATGGCCTGTTTGCATGGATTACATTTTAGATGGTAAAAACAAAGTCGGGGAATTCTACGGAACAGAGGTTGTGAAATCGGTTTTGAACTTCATTGATGCTCTTGCTGTATTCCGTATTGTTTATTCAAACAAAGGAATTACTCTTTGCTCAGAGTCAGACATATTATTACACTGTATGCCATCCTTTCTGAGAATTAAACCAAACACCCCATGCTGCTTCTTTTTCATTCATTTTTAAATTTTGTTCAACGTTTTGTCCACAAAATACAGGTTCTGAAATCAGTTTTGAACTTCATACATGTAGTAGCTATTGCTGTATTCTATAATGTTATGCTTTCTTTCAGTAATACTTGTTGCTCATTCATATTACCGGTATAATGCCATCCTTTCTGAGAAATAAACCAAAATCCCATGCTTTTTCTTTTGCGTTCATCTCTAATTTTTTTTTGAAAGTTTTGTCGGATTTGTCCACAAAACAGAGGTTGTGAAATCAGTTTTGAACTTCATAGTAGCTATTGCTATACTTCTTAAGGATGTGCTTTCTTTCAGTTACGCCTTGCTTATTCATATACCGGTATACACTGTATGATGCCATCCTTTCCCAGAAATGAACCAAACAGACACCCCATGCTGTTTTTTTTCCATTCATCTCTAATCTATTTGAACGTTTCTGTTTATCTTTGCAGATGAGTCAGGGAGAGGGCTGGTGAGGACAAACAATAGGTCAGAAAGCCCCTAGCAAGTTGATTGGTCATCATGATGGTCAGCATTGATTGACCATCCCTCTTCCAGTGGTGAGTTTGCAAAGTGACCCGATGTTTGTGTACTTGTTGTAATAGCTCACCGTGATTATCTCTATCAACATGCATTGTGCTTGGACTGTATGAATGATAGTGGTTGTATTGTATAGTTCATTGGTCACATGGAGGGATAGCATTATTAGCAGGTAAGATATTCATTTTCATATTATTTAGCAGAAAAATAAGTGAGGCTATGAAGAACATCACATGATAATGACGTAATGTGTAATACACTTCACTCGGAGGAAAGTGAATATGCACAAGTCCAAGTGCAGTTGCCATTCACGTAAACGTTCAAAATTGCAGTGTTTTTTTGTGGCTGACCTTTGGGAAGAGGGTCGAAAGACTTTTGGTTTACGATGAATTTTTTTGTTAATTATTTACTTCTGATTTATTATTATTGATTTGTATTTTTCTTTACATTTTTATTAATTTGTGTAATAGATTTCTTTTCTTTTTACTTATTTACACATGCCTATTATTTTTTCCTTTGTTTTGAATCCATTTGTTTATTTTTCTTATGATTTAGTTTTGTTATTTTGTAATACTGGCTTTTGTTTGTATCATTATAGTATATTTTTATTCAGTTCACAAACTTTCTGAAAATTGGCTGTTTAGGCTGAAGTGAGTTACTGATCCTAACTCCTTGGATATAACTGAAATCTTACAGGAAGATAACAATTTTCTTGTGAGTAACAGCTTGGTAGATTATCTGCATTGTTGATCATGCAGTAATTCTTACCTCACTGGTATCAAGAGTCTGGAGAGAGGGGGAGCTGTCTGACCTTGCGTTCAGGTTTCGTCGTATAGCTACATTTATACAAGAATCGTATAGCTTATTAGCTTAACGATGAGTAATTAATTTTTCCCTAATCTGAATATCAAATAAAGAAACATCATATTAAGAAACGCCTGTTTGAGCTGTCACGTCAGCAGACCTCTTCAAAATTTGTTTCATTATACAAATTTCTGTATACGATGTTGTTTTTAGTCTGTAAGCTCCTTTTGCTACACGATGATGCTTTACCGTATACAACGTTTCTTAATACATGTTTCTTATAAATTTCTTTAAGTCTGAACTGGCCTTGAAGAAACTCTATGATAGGTAGATGAGTACATGTAGATGGTTTAAACCACCATTTTTATTTTGGATCATAAAAGTTAAAAAATGTGGGTTTAAACAAAACCTGAGGTACAATGTACATGTATGTGTCATTTTGTAAACCTAATTGATTTTGCAATAATGAATTTATTTACCAATTTTGCAAGTAATCATGATCTGCAAACTATATTGGCACAAAATCAGTAGAAAATACTGAATTCTTGCAGTTTGCAAGGATCCATGCTGTGAAAACATTGCAAACCACTAGCTAAAAATTTCAGCCCACAAAACGTTCTCGTTTTACAGCCTTTGTTTAAAACAGAAGTTCAAAATCTTTCTTAGAATCTTTCTTACACTGATATTTGTAGATACAGATAAGCATGGATTATAAAACGATATTAGCATATCCCAGGTCATAATTAAGGTAGGAAGACTTTGATTTATTAGGCCTATATTCTTCCTGTAGTTTTAAAGAAGTCTCATATTTGACATATTCCATTTCCTCTGTTGCATAAAAATGACAGCAAATCGTAACCACAACAAAACATTATATACAGCTCCAAAGTAGCTGTCAAGATTAAAATCATTATAAATGATAGAACATGAGAGATTGCACGTAGAAATATTATCATGTGACTACTTATTGATTAGCATATGGAATTTAGACTTTGGATTGCCCCAACTCAGATCAGATATAAATATCATTAATATCACTTTGAATAGCTCAGTATATCATTATAATACCTGAAGTGCAAAAACATATAATTTATGGGCTGTCGATACAACTCGTCTTGTTCACTTTATGACACAGAGTTCCACTTACATACATGTGGAATTCCCTACCAAATGAAATCATATCAATTGTGTTTAAAAATAGTTTTGAGAGAAAATTAAAGAAATTTATCTAAAGGTAACAAAAATAATACATTATTTATAGCTCTAAAGTAGCCTCTTTTTTCAGAATTTTCAGTCTAAAATTTATAATGTTTGTTTCCAAACTTCGTTAAGGGTTGTCTAGTTATTTATTAACAAAAGAGATATATATCATTGTGTGTCATTGTATTACATCTTTGAATATTTTAATTGTTTTGTTTTGTTTTCCATATTCATATAATAAATGTTTTAATATCCTCCCCTCTTGCATTCAAGCACTTTCTACTCTATTTCATGAGGTGACTATAATCTTGACAAGACTGTATTGGTCATTATGGTACCCTTTAATAATCCCATACAGTTTATATGCTTTTATTGGAATTGAATTAAATTGAACTTGAACTTGAATCATCATCTTCATGCATATTCTTATCATCACTGCTCTAGTTTTCTACCAATTGGATCTGGAATGCTTTCTACAGTCTGTTTTTGGTATAGTTTATCCAATATTTCTGATCACTTTGTTATCTTGTATATAGATGGGAAATTTAGAGAAATGAATGGTCAGTGGTCGGTTTGATGTGGTGAGTATAGTCCACCGCAGACCAACGTTTTTGAGAACCACAAACTGACCTTTCTCAGGCTTCTGGTATATTATATGTACCCTGGTACCCCTCCTTCCATATAGTATATGAGATCAGACTCTTATGAATATGATCTTATAATAGGAGGATGTAGGCCCATATGTAAGTTGAGCCCAGTGGCGTATCCAGGACTCTCTGGCTGGGGGGTATATAAATTCCCTGACATTTAAAGTGAAAAGCAATTCCCAGAGAAAAAGGGTGAGGGTGCTCCTTTACCCTAAAGTTCTTACTTTATTATAAAATAGCTGCCCAGAATGTGATGGATGGGCACAAAGGGTGGGGGGGGGGGGGCAGAGGGCTCATCTACTTTTTGTGTACCGGTAGCTCAGGATATACGCGAGGGGGGGGGGGGGGTCATGCCCCTGGATCCGTCTCTCAAAGCATGATATTACAGTACAATATGTTACAATGTACTTGACCCAGGTTGACCTACAACAATGCAGATATACGGTAGAAAAAGTGAAGCAGCAAATTGAATGCATCTTGTATTCTGTTTTAAAGACGACTCTTTCATTTTCATTCAGAGTTATTAAAAATATGGAATGGAACATCTGGTGAAATGTTGATTTAGATGATCTTTAGAAAAATGTGGACCTATAAATGTATTGAACTTTGATTGACATATCTATTTTGTATAGAGAGGGTCTGGAAAGTAATGTTTGAAGACTACACTCGTACATATATTTTTATGCAGCTTGTAATCTACAGAGTACATACTCCGTATGGGGAAAGGGGGGTAAAGCATCCTTTATCAAACAAACTCCCATTTATCATGCTCAAAGTCCATACAATCTCATAATGTTTGTTTTGGATACATGTACATCATGACCTGATAGATTCAGAGCTACTTTTAATTGTTAGTACCTGTCAGTACTATGTAGTTACTGTATTGTCGGTGTTAGGTCAATTTCATCTGCAATGATGCAAGGAATATGACAGGAATATTATTGCGAGAGGACAGACAAATTTGGGGATTTTACTAACATCATTGTCGACCAGAGTAGTGAAAGTATTGTTTATGTACGTGTAAGTAATCTACAAAGGTAATAAGAGGACAATTATTTTGTGATGAACATTTCTTTAGAGAACTGATCGGGTATCCATTTGTGGTACCGGTATCAATTGCAGGAAAAGGAATTTTTGTTGTTCAATAATCAATTATTACAGTACAGTAGGTCTACCTGCCGTAGTAATTGTGGAAATAGAATATTATCGGAAATCATTATCTTGTGTATGGGTTTGAGAGAATGATATACTCATACAGGTAATTGGCTGTCTTGGTTGATACATGTACATGTATGTCAAACTAAATGTAGATTGACAAGTGACTGGGCTCTGGGAAGGTAGCTCTGAAAGATCTCTTGGTAATAAATGAAAATGTGCATTTAATTATTTCACAGAGGAGTGTTACTTTAGCAGGTCAAAAGAAAGAAAAAAGAAAAAAGCGGAGCTATTAAGGGGGAAATTAAATCATTACATTTACACCCATAATGATATGATGTATTTTGAAATAGAGTTTTTTGTTATCAATTCATAGAATTTTGGATAACTACCTACATGACTTTATTTTTGAAGTAAAATAAGATGAAACTTGCAGCACAGCAACCAAAATCGAGCTGAAATAGGGATTTCATTTTTACTGTTTATGGAAAATAATGATTATTTTCTTAACTTTTTTTTGTTCTAATAATAATGATAATAATAATAATGACGATGATGATGATGATGATGATAATTATGAATATAATGATATTTTTGTTAACCCAAGGAACTCCCATTAGCTTTACTGTTGTTCTGCCCCAGGGCCCTGCAATTAGTAATACCCCAGCGATTGAAAGGCCCCCATTTACACCTGGATGGAGAGTGGCAAATGGCGATTATTGTCTTGCCAAAGGACGTTAGTGCCGGAGCTAAGATTCGAACCCTCAAACCTTGGACTGAGCTTCAAGTGAAGGAACCACTATACCATGACACCTTCACAAACCATCTGTTTATGATGGGTAGCTGCTGTACTTGCTTGAACCATTTCATGGAACTTTAAGTTTTTTTTATAACTTTCATTTTTTATTTGATTGTTTTTAATAGATGATGATTGATGTTGGCTAGGATACAAGAGACACTTGCACATAGGAGATTGGCCAGGAATGGTTGGTAAGTACTTACTCAAAAGCACATCAATTGTCAATCTTCTGTTATAAATCATCTGTCTTAAGACAAATGGATGATTTTAACTTAGCAAGGAAAATGTTAACAGCCATAATAATAATACTAATAATGTGGATTTATATACCAGTAGCGCTAATACGAAATACTTTCTCTAAGGGGACAGGACTTTAGAGATATTATTACTCCGATCATCAGATTCGTTCATGCACAATGTGCACCATCTCCACTCTCAGGCTATCAAACATAAATTGTATTCCTATTGTACCATAATATATAGGCCTACACAGTGACTGTGACTTTTTGCTGTTTCTGCTCATGTATAATGTGTAATTCCTCGCATTCTGGATAAAAAAAAATAATGCAAAAATATCATTTAAAAAAAATGTACTGCTTTGGGTTAACATAAGTTTGTGTTTTGATATGAAACTTGTCAGAAAACATCACAAAGTTTTCTGACAACATTAGATCTCAGTTTGAAAGAGTTTATCCTCAGCAAGGAACGTACATTCCTGCATGTTTTTCGGAAATTGGCTTATTTGAGCAAATCTTCAACAAACACACCGATCAGAAATGATGTCTTATTTGTAGTGTTTGCAACTTCCATGTCAGTATGTGAAGCCAGCGGGGTGAGTGTGAATTGAAATTAAAGGTGTGATGTATCCTATACACTTGTCCCAAAATATGAATCAAATTAATGAAGAAGCTGTCCATCCCAATGGACATGGATTATGTGGTGCAATCGGATCATCGTCTGGCTGTCATGACTTTTGTCATGCGCGTTGATTAGAGTCCTGCCTGAGCAGACAAAAAATGCAAAAATAATTCAAGAAATAATTGTAGGTGCGCCCTCTCATCTGTTCTCGATGCACGCTGGCCACTGCGGTTCGGGGGAAAATGAAGGCCCTGTGTGTAGGAGACACACATCCTATGCAATAATACGCTACACTTCTCGCAAAGAGTAGGATGCACAGCCTTTGAAGATTACAAAAAGAAGAAAAGGATACTGCTCTAAACTCCAGATCTGGGCTACCAAGTTATGACTTAAATAAATATAACAGCTTTCAGAAGTGTTGTGATTCCGAATGACAATTCTTTATTTATCTTTGAGTGGTGTCTATAATCATGTTTCACTTTTTTCTTCAAAGTTTATGAATGTCACTATCGAGCCATACCTGTGAACTGTAAAATGCTTGGATGGATATGAATACTACCCATTTCATTGAAGAGGATTTTGACTCACCAGATTAGTTGTTAAAATAATTCAAGCGCTTAATTACCTCTTTGCAGAAACTTTTTGGATCTAATTCATGAAAGAGTTTTATCTTTTAATCATCTGTGGTTTTAAAAATTTCAACCTCAATAGTGAAGTGCTAACAAATTGAAACCTAAAAATGACCACTAAAATCTAGGTACTGAAATGCTATGTAATATGTACATTGTATGGTCCACATTCCAGTACGAGAATTGAATAAATCCTTGGACAGCAGTGTATAAGCAGCAGAAATGTGGTTCTTATTTTATAAAGAAGTATGCTTAGGATACCTTGGACTGACAAAGGATATCAAACTTTCAAAGGAAGAAGTGCTCAATGGCGCATGTGTCGATAGATCCCTCCTTAACATTTAAAGAGAAGGTTGAGTTCTGGGAAGAGGTGAAAAATAAGTTGTGAGCGTTGTCATTCTTATTATGCAAGTATGGAAGAACATCAGATAAGACATGTTCCCTGAAAAGCATGGCTCTTCAAATGCCTTCTTATTCTAAATATGGCATGTCACATCGTAAAAATCGGGGGGTAGGATTTTTACGCCACGTGTTCGTGTAGTCCCATATACATCTTTCTGTGTACAGTGTGTGTAACTTTACCAAGACTTGGCCAAATTTCTTATCATTTTGATGATTCAAGAACCTTGCAATACACACAAATTTTATTATGCTAGATGATCAACCTTTTCTGGTCGATTCCACACCGTTTCTTTTACAATGCAATCGCATGACCAGAACTCAACTTCATCTTTAAAGCAAAAAATAACTTCAGTTCGTTAGTCATATTATGAGAAGAGAAGGCAAGGAAAACAGGTTACCGACAGGAAAAATTGAGGGAAAGAGAAGCAGAGGGATACATGGAGCAGAACAGAAGTAACTTCACATTACAAAGAACTAGAGATAGAAGTAGATGGATGTCTCGTTACCGATGTCTGGAACAGACAATTAGGCAGCAAGCAAGCATGCAGATGAAGTACTACATGCCTTTATGTCAACTGGGTAATCAATAAAACTCTTTAATGTATATAGATGCACATTTATAGGTACTTAAGTCTGTATTAGAGGTTTATGATTTATACTTCAGACCATGCATGCGTGGGGTAAGATAAACCTGATGAATTAAGGATAACTGGTCCACAAAATGTTTCTGTTTGATGTTTGACTCAGTCAGTAAAGTCGGTAAAGCGTCTGCCTGTCGAACCAAAGATCCCGGGTTCGACTCCCACCCAGGCGGATGACTGAAGCCTGTGTTGTGTGTTAACATGCCCCTTCCCTTGTAGATGCAGGTTATGTCAAGTGGAAAACACTCCGTCCCTCGGATAGGACGTTAAATGGAGGCTCCGTGTACAGGAGAGTCACCACCCTTGCACGTTAAGAACTCATTGCACTATTCGTATAGTAGGGGGAAACCCCGGTGTATGGTCCACCTGCATACCCCAACCAGGCCGAGTATACGGCATCTGCAAGAATTTTCAGTATTGAAGGAGGCTGATTATCTTGAAGAAGAAGAAGAAGAAGAAGAAGAAGACATGTCACCAAATTTTCATATTTTTCCTGTTCCAAAGTCTATTATAAGGGCTAAGAAAGCGAATGTTCAGGGAAAGTTATATATTTAGATTTTTATTTTGGTGGTTGATCCCTTTAAACCTTGATGTCATCTGGGTTCTTTGACTTGTACACCCTGCTGTTTTCTCTAAACATCAGCTTTGTGTGATGATCAGCACTAGGCCCATTCACATTGCAGTAAAACCAATTAAAAAAACCAAATATAAAAAAAAACAAAAAAACAATTACACTGACTGGAAAAGCAGATAAGAAACTGTCAGTGTATGCTAATTCTGTGCTTTTGTGAGAGTAGTGCACATTCGCTGAAGAGAGTCATGTGAGCAAAAACCGGAATAAACCAGTGTCTTGAGAGCTAGCATTTACACTGCAGTTTCGGCCAGCTTTTCAAAGATCCACAATCCAGAAGAGGGTTTTTCGAAGCAGGTTTTTGGATGCAGGTTTCATATTGTGTTCATGGGTAGTGGCTAGCAACTTCTAACAAAAATTCAGGGATGTGAGAAAAACCAATGGTTTTATCGTACAGTGTAAATGCTCCAGCTGTCGTGGCCTACTGGTTGCTATCCAGCAGTGGTTCAACCAGTCAACCTGCTGTGCATACTCTGTTGATTCCCATTCCTTCTCTATGGTGTGTGTTCTGGTTTATACAGGCTAACAAGTGGTAGACTTTTCAAGGTATAATGAATCTTTGTGGTAGTATTAAATACAAGCTTAGAATTTTGCTGACAATAGACCCAATTTATATCGCAGACTGACCAATTTGAGAAAAAAAAACTTATTTTTTAACCGAGGCAAAGTTTAAACCCACTCTCGTAAAAAGGGAAATCCAACCTCACTAGTAAACAATATAAATCGAAAGCAGAAAATCAGAGAAGCAGGTTGGTGAAAGTTTGAATGAATAAAAACATAAAATATATAATTTATGAATAATCGAAAGTTATGATCACTATCATTATACCTATTTTCCCTCAATAATATTTTCAATCATACATGCACCATAAATATTATAGCAAATATGTTTCTACACAACCCCTAGAAGGAAAAAATCTATTCCTTCATCAATAACAAAGAAAATGGAAATTTAGCAAATTGGAGAGGAACTTGCAAGATACATCACAGTGTTGCCAATTTGTGTTTGACTGATCGTAACTTTAAAAATTCATAACTTTCTTATTTTTAATCTGAAATTGCTCAAACTTACAGTGACTTGTTCCTCTCATATTTCTGCTTCTATTTAAACCAATTTAATATCAGGGCAGACTTCCCCTTTAAAAGCTCATTTGTTGTTGTTGTTGTTCATAATGGAAGTATTCAAGCAAACAATCTTCTTTATATTGAGGACATTTTGAATAAAGGGAGAATCATTTTACAACTGAAATAGGTAGCTCATTTAAACAGCTTATGGTTGATATGACTATAGGTTCAGAAAACTGTATCATGCAAACATTGGACAATTCTATATGAGTGCTCAGCTGTTACAGCGCATACAATGTACGAAGGCTCTACTTATGTCATGTATACCAGTATGCATCAATACCTGTATTATTCACATCATGTGACTATTGTCTATACCAGGAATGTGGCTATTTATGAGGCAGAGGTGATGGGAGAACGTTCATTTCAGATTTATGCAATGTTGAGATGACCTTGCTTGGGAAACTCCTGTGGTAGAAAAAAAAACTAGAAATGTGACATGGAATTGAAGGCTTACCGGTACTAGATGTTTGTAGTTTATATGCAACATTTTGTTTTTGATATTAAAGCTATTAGATGTGACAGGTATACAGGTTTAAAGGTATGTAATGAACACAGAACAAGGGCTCTTTTTTTTTTTAAAGGAATACATTTTCTTTCCTTTTCCTATTAAAGATGTTGCCAATTTACATTTCACTGATGATAACTTTAAAAATTCACACCTTTCTTATTTTTAATCAGTTTTTCTCTCCAACTTTCATTGACCTGTTCCTCTTTCTTTTCTGCTTCTATGCAAACCAACTTTATTTTATATCAAGGTGGACATCCCCTTTAATAGACTTTAGACATCAGTGCATTTTGTTTCTTATGTTCAAATTTTCAAACTTAATTGTACACTTCTATAAGTGTAGGCCTATTTGTAAACTCAGGAATGAAATTGTAGTGTATAAAAAATATTCACATGT